CGACTCTCGTCGCAGCCGCCAGCCCAGCAGGTGAACCGAGGCTCAGCGAGAGCCGGGCAGAGGCAGGACTCAGCCCGCTTGTTGACTGCAGACCCCATTTCTCCCAGCCGCCACCCCATCTGCTGGGCTCCCAGGATGGGGTCCTGAGCCTGGCCTGGGGCGGCGATGCCCAGTCCTGCCTCCTTCCCCTGGCCCCTCGGGACGCCATCGAAGGGTTTTAAGACCTAAACAGGTGTTTAAATCGCAGAAATATGCAAAGGCTGAATTTTCTCATCTGGATCCTCACAGATGCTTGGGGGTGAAATTGAATCCCAGCGCGGCGTATTTGCTCTGGAGACGACGTGTGTGGGGTTGTATGACAGAATAACTTAGGCTTTGTCCTGACTCTGTGCCGGTAGTGATGGCCCGACCCCCGTGGGGAGGTCCACCCGGGCAGCGCAGGGCGTGCCCCTCCTCCAGAGGAGACCAGGCTGCGGATGGGGAAACGTGAGGGCAGAGCAGGGAGAGTCAGCCCTGCAACGGGAGAGCGGGGGCTCGCCTGCCGCCCCTCACCTCCCCTGCAGCAGCCTCTCCCCGCCCTCTTCTCTGTCGCCTCCTGCCTATGACTAGGAAGACCCAGAAAAGGGTGTCAAGGCCCTGGCCAAGAGCATGCTGGGGCTCTGGTTCAAATCCTTCCTGCCAGCTGTGTACCTTGGGCCAGTTGCTTAACCTCTCTGAGCCTCAGTCTCTCCCTCTGTACGCTGGGGGGAATAACTGCGGCATGGCTGGGAGGAATCCCTGTGAATTACGCCAAGCGCTTGACTAAGGCTCGATAAACAGAAGCCAGGAATTGTGTTAGGACTGGGAGTTCCCAGGGCAAATGGCATCACCCCTGCTGTCCAGCTGTGGGGACGGAGGCCATGGTACAGAGGTCAGGGAGGATTCGGCCACGACCTCACCGGAGCTGGAGTTCTCTGTGCCCCGCTCTGGAGCTGGGAGGAGCAAACAGAGACATGGGTCACAGGAGGCTGCCAGGGCAGAGGACATCTCCACCTGGAAGTCCACCCTGACTGGCCCACCATTGGAGCTGCCGCCGCCCATGTTTCCTGGGAGCCCTGAGGGCAGAGGCCATGCCTCCCTCAGCTCTGCCCCAGGTACCCACGTCGGGTTTTGTGAGTCCAAAGACTGGGTTCTGGCCCCACCTCCGGCCCAGGCTCGCAGTGTGGCTTGAGCACTCCTGGGCCTCCCTGGGCCCCAAGTTTCCTGTCAGTGTGGTTGGGAGCTGACCACTTCCATGGCCACCACTGTCTAGGTCCTCCAGCTCTTTCAGAGGCTGTTTAAGAATAGCTGTGTCTTCCTGTCTGTCACTCTCCCAGCCAGCTCCCATCCCCAGCTCAGCATCTCCTGCCCCCAGCCCCTTCCTCACTCATTCATACTTTCATTCATTCTCAACCTTGAACTGAGCCCCCACCAGGTGCCCAGTCTGCGAGGAGTAGGTGGTCTTGCCTCTCCTGACCCCCGTTCTTTGGGATACAGTTTTATTTCTTGTTGGGAGAGGGTCTCTGATAGGTGCTAACTGGGCTTTAACACCTGCTTGACTCTGCAAGGGGTTGGGCAGGAACTGGGAGCTGGAAATAGTTTATCTGAGTGGATGGATGTTGAACATCACCAGGGCCACCATAGACAGTTGCACAGGCTGTGCACTGCACAAGGGCACTGAACGAGCTGGGGCTGAGATCCAGCCATGTTCCCATCATGGAGCCAGGCATCTGCTATGGCCCTGCATCCACCCACATGGGGTACCCTTTCTAATGCCCAGCCTCTCAGGGACGGCCTCCCCTGGACCACGGAGGGGGCTTCCAATGGGGACCACTGCCCGATCCTCAGCCCACATCGCTCAGATCCCTGGCCTCCCTGCCTTTCCCAGGCCTCGACCATCCCCCAGCAAGCCCTGAGTGGTGGGTTCTGCCCCGTCGTGCAGAACGGCCGCCTTTATCAGGAGCCGTCCTCCCTCTGGTGGTGCGTGATACCCAGGAGATGGAGTGGCTGCCACGGGAAGCACCAGCCACGCCGTTATCTGGGAGCTGGGGCTGCCAGCCCTGGGGCGCGATTAGGGGCCACGGCAGTTTGTGGTGCAGCGTGGGCGGGTGTGGGGGCTCACTGGCTCTGCCCCTTCCTCTGGGGGGCTACCAGTACTGGGGATGAGCTAGGGCCAGGGCTCTGAGAGAGGGGCCTCAGGACCCCACAGGTGCAGCGAGCCAGGGGTAGACTGGGGGCCTGGGGCTGCACCCCACCCTCGCTCGCCCGCGGAGTGAGCTGGGCCAGCCACCTCCGGCCCCGCCGTGTCCCTGAGTCTGTGTGGGACTTGGCCCGCACTGGGGAAGACTGGACTGAATTCCCCACTTCTCTGCCCCCCAGGAAGGTGGGCGCCGGCCTCAGATGGACGGCACTGTCTCGTACTGGGGGACCCAAGCCTGACAAGCCAGGAACAGGCCCTGGACACTGAAAGGAAAATATGTGACAGCAACAGTGGGAGTCGTGGTCACTACCCCTGGCTCGTCTGTGGCCCAGCAGCAGAACTGAAGTCCAGAAAGGGTGTGGGCCGACCCCATGCGGCTTAGCGCAGGTCTGGCTGTCTGGACGGGCACCGGCCATGGTGTTGGGAAGCGGGATGATTCCGCCTTGACCCCACCGTGCTGAGGGGGCGGATGGGAGGGGGCAGGTGGTACCCAGCTCAGCCCACGGTGGGCTCCCCAGCCAGCCTCAGAAGGAGAGCATGGACCCGTCGGATGGCTGGCCAGACCATTTGGATGGATAAGTGAGTGCCCAGCAAACCTGCCTTTAGACAGCCTCTCCCCACACGCCCACGCCCTGGGGCCAGCTGGGCGGGGTACCAGAGACCCAAATATACCCAGGACAGCAGCGGCCCGGGCTCAGATCCTGGCATCCCACTGCCAGCTATGTGGCCTCTCGGGGCCTCAGTTTCCTCATCTGTATTGCGGGGTGGGGGGGGACCAGGAGAGGACCGACATCATAGGGCCATTCGGGCAGGAACGGGCGACCACATGCCGGTTGGCACCTTGCAGGCCCGGGGGGGGGCGCCATGGGCAGAGTCCTGGCTGGGACCCTGGCATCCTGGGTGCACAGGTAGAGGACACGGCCCCTTGTGGGCGGGATGCAGAGTGACATGGCCGGCCTCTGTCCCCCTCGCCGCGGGGCCGATAAAGGGCGCCGCCTCCTGGCCACGTCCTGGTCCCCTGCCATCTTATCTGCCCTGGGGAAGACAAGGACCCAGTTAGAACATTGTAGCCGGGCCTCCTGGTGTATTTACACGTTATCTGTGCCATTAGGCCGGCAGTTATCTGATAATCGGGCCCATTAAGGCCACAGCCCGCCCGATCGGGGATCCAGGAAGCGGGGCCAATGCAGCAGCGCTTGCTCGGGGCCCAGGCCAGGCCACGTGAGGCCTCTGTGGGCCCAGGCAGCCCAGGTGGCACCCGAGGCACAAGGCGGCCCCGCCTTCCTGGGCAGAGGGCGCGTGGCCTGGGGAGAGACTGCCCTGGGAGGGCATGGCCACCATCATCCCCTCGGCTTTGAGGACACTAAGGCTCGAGACGGCAGGTAACGTGCCAGGTGTGCGTCTCCCAGGGCGGCCCGGGCAAATTCACACCACCTTGGTGCCTCGAAACATCAGAAGTCTACCCTCTCACAGCTCCGGAGCCAGAAGTCCCGAATCAAGGCGTGGGCAGGGCCGCATTCCTGCAGAGGCTCCAGATGCAGTGTCCCCCCAGCTGTATCCCACCAGTCCCCGCCCCGTCTTCAAGTGGACTTGTTCCTGTGTCTCTTTTTTTCTGTGTGTCTCTTACGAGGACATTTGTTATTGGCTGTAGGGCCTACCGGATAATCCGACGGTCTCACCTTGAGATCCGATCTCAATCACATCTGCAAAGACCTTTTGTCCAAACAAGGGAACATTCCCAGGTTGCGGGCCACCGTCCAGCCCCCCCCACAGGTCACGTGGGTCGTGCGCTGAGGCCGGGCTGAACCTGGGAGCCCACCTGCAGACCCTGTGCGACCCCAAGCTCCCTCCCCGTGAGAAGGACTGTGGCGGGGCTCCTGGCAGAGGCCGGTCTGTCCACGTCAACAGAACTGAATCCTGCCGGGGGCCGGGCACAGATGCCACTCCCCTAGCTGACACACGAGCCACAGCCCGGGCCACGCAAGCTGGCAGAGTCCGGGAGCTTGGCCCTGATCACAGCACAGGTGGCCACGGCCCGCGAGCCTTAGGCCCTCAGCCGGGTGGCAGGCCGCTCGGACAGGCAGCCGCCGACCAAGGGCCTCGGCAGGAGTTGGGTCCAGACCTTTCCAGGGGGCAGGCGGGGGTCCCGCAGGGAGTGATGCTGGTGCTACCCGAGCGCATCGGCCGGCAGTGGGCAGGGGAGGGGAGGAACACTTGGCTCCAGGCCTGGCTCCCCCTGCTGGGCCCTGTGCTGAGGTGCTAAGAGGATTGGGAGGTGCGGGGTCCCAGCATTTCACAGCTGCCCACACAGGCGTGCTCTGCGGATTCTGGGGCTCAAGCTGATGGGAAGGGGCTGGGAGGACCGTGTGGAGGGGACGGGAGGCGGTCTTATCGGCGTCATCGTCCTCCACTCTGTGCCTGCCCCCACGTGAGGCAGTAGGGGTGACCCGGCTCCGTGTGTGCGTCCTAGGCTGTGCAAGGCACACGCGTCCCAACGCAGCCGCCAAGGTCCCGCCGAGCGGTGCGCCCACCTGCTCAGTGCAGCTGCAGGCGCCCCTGCTGTCCTATCTCTGCGGCCTGCAATCCCCCGGAACAGGTCTCACTGCAGGGGCTGGCCTGGCCCCCAGGACCCGGCACCAGCCCCCATCCCCGTAACCTGGGCCAGGGCCACCCTCCCGCTTCTGCCCTCAGCCCCCCAACTGCTCCTGGGGGGGCGGGTGCCACAGGACGGACTGGACCTGGGACCCGGACCTCCTCACACCTCTGACATCTCTCCCCGCAGACGAGCTGAAGCTGCTGCTACAGGACGGACAGAGGTGCGTGCGGGCTCGGTGCAGCCTCGCCGAGGGCCTGTCCTGGGGCCCATTCCGCGGGAGCATCCAGACCAGAACCTCGTCCCCCGGGCAGGCGGAACCGGTAAGGAGCCCTGACCCCGGCCGCAGCGGCCAGGACAGTGTCTGGCCCAGGGCACAGGCCCCTTCAGCCCCCTGAGCCAGGCCCGGGCTAGACTCCCGTGCAGAAGCAACTGCCACTCCACGTGAAACATGTCAGGAGATGCAGCCATGGAGGAGTTAACTGCCCGGGAACACAGGGAAGGCTGCCTGGAGGAGGTGACGTGGGGCCTCTGGGACCTCGGGGTGACACAGGGAGGGCTGCCTGGAGGAGGCGATGCGGGGCCTCTGGGACCTCGGGGTGACACAGGGAGGGCTGCCTGGAGGAGGGGTTCTTTCAGCAGGCACTTAATGAATGAGTAGACGTTGGCGAGGCAGAGAAAGAGAAGGGCTTTCAAGGGAAGGGAGCAATAAGGAACCAAGTGGTGGGACTGGACCTGGCCTGTGGCCTGTGGCTGGGGAAGCAGGCAGGGACTGCCCCCCAGCACTGGGCTTCACGGGTGGGGCCACCCCTCGTGGTAAGCGAGGTGGTTATTCGTTGCGTTTCCGTGCCTGTGGGCCCCCAGACGGCAGGGAGAGGGCGCTGCCTGAGCGTCTCTAGCGCGTGCTGACGACCACTGGGCTGTCGTTTGTCTCAGGGTTGCTGCTGAGCTGCTCTCAGTTGTTGGCAAGTCGGTGTGGCGTCCTCTTGCAAAGGGTACAAATGCTCATTTTAAAATACGTTTCGGTTAAGAAAGGGCGTTGACGTATGGGAAGCAAGTGTGGGGCAGTGGAATGGGCACGTACGGTGTGGTGGGAACCAGGAGGGGCCTGTGCCGGATGAGAGTTCAGGAAGCACCTCCTAGCCATGGTGACGCTTGCCTGGGAGGCCGGGCAGCACCCGGGTTGGTCCCCTCAAGCCCAGGCTCAGGTGCCCCAAATGTGCAGGCACAGCCATGGCCTGGGCCCTTCTGATTCCTAACGTGGCATTCGGGTGTGGCTGGATCCAGGGTACACACTGCTGGCAGGTGCCCTGTGATGCTGGGCCTCGTGGGCCTCTGATGGGCCTTCAGTGGCAGTGGCGGGGCTGTGGGGGGGCTTCCCCCCAGCCCTGCGCCTGGAGGCCAAATGCTGCCTTAACAGCTCTGACCATCTCCAACCTGGCAGAGCCCCTGTCTCTCTGCCAAGGAAACCAGGGCCCCAGGAACTTGGCCTGCAGCAGGGCTGGTAGAGAGCCGTGGCCAGGATCCCCAGCTGCTACTCTCGGACTACTGCTCACAGCCCGCACCCACTCCCGTGTGCAGTGCACCCTGAGCTGTGGGTCACGCTGCCTCAGAACCTCAGAGCTGGGGCCCGGGCCTCGGGAGATTGGAGACGTCTCAGCTGAGGCCCCTGGGCTGCCCACGCTGCCTCTCCCAGCTGAGTGGCCAGGTTCAGAGGGGCGGTGCTCACCCAGGCCACTCAGCCAGGGGGTGGGAGGCGGCCCAGGACCGAGGGCCCCCACTTTCAAGGCCAGGCCGTCCCCATGGCACAGGGTCCAGGTCCTGGGGCCTCCTACCCTGTGGCTGTTTGGCCGTGTGCCCCCAGGCAGGCCTCCACCTCTCTGAACTTCTGTCTCCTCAGCCTTTGGGACCTCAGCGGGGGGACACAGGGGAGCCCTGAAGGGTCCTTGAGACCTGCAAGGTCCTGCAGACCCTGCAACCTCCCCGCAGAGGAGAGGGTGGGCAGAGCAGCAGTTCCTCTGTGACGTGGTGGCCTCCCAGGGCAGCCGGGCGGGTTAAACGCAGTGATCCACACGTGGTGCTTACCACAGGGCGTGGCTTGGCAGGCAGCATGGCCAGCAGCCCTGCGGGAGGGATGACCCTCTTGCCCCGTGGCCCCAAGCAGGGAGAAAGCAGTGGGAGCTCCAGTGTGGATTTCAGCTCCTTGGAAGGAGCCACATTTTGGCTCCATTGTGTGACCAAGACTGTGGTATTTACAGCAGTCCCTATAGGCAGTGAGCTCCCCGTCACTGGAGGTGTACAAGCAGCAGTTGACTCTTAAGAGAGAGGGTAGGCCGTTGGGGGGAGTTAAGAGGAGCTCCGTGACTCTCGTGTCTGGACTCTCAGAGAATAGCCGTAAGCAGTGATGGGACAAAGCCGGGATGGCTGAGGACTGGGGAGCTCAGTGTGTCCTGAGCAGGGCCTGCACCTCTCTCCTCTGCTCTCTCCTTGGGGACAGTCAACCCCTTCCAAGATGGACAGTTCCAAGTGCGTGTTCCAGACACACTGCTGTGCGCCCATCCTTATACTCGGCCCCTCGTTTTCTCCACCCCCCATGAGGCGGGTACTGCTGTTCCCATTTCCCAGATGAGGAAACTGAGGCTCCAGGAGGTTAGGTAACTTGCCAAAGTCACCAGGACCAAACAGCAGAGGGGAAATCACTATTTTCCTAACCACAGAGACCCCTGCAGGACGGGGATGGGGGGCTGGAGATGCCCGCACCAGCCCTGGGATCCCCACCGCACCCCCACCCCCAGGCCCTCCCCTCCCGCCTGCAGCCTCCTCTCCGGGGGTTTTGTCCTCCTTGGGCCCAGGGCGCAGGTCAGCCTGGGGAGACTTGGCGTGAGGTTGGAAACCCTCTCCAAGCGGAGAGATAATCCAGGGAGTGCGCCAGAGAAGCGGGCCTCTGAGGCTCTGAGGCTCTGCAGAGGGGCCCAGGGAGGAAGGAGCTGCCTGCTCTTCCCTGCAGCTTTATCTCCTGCAGAATTAAATCCTTGATTAACCCTTATCTCCCCAGCAGGCGCTATCTCCGCCTTGGCGCCGAGTGTCCAGACACACGTACAAGATGATTGATTTCTTAAAGATATGCGTGCCTTTCCGATACTTCATTTATTGTCTAAATATTTTCGCTAACATTTCAGCAGGCCCCTTATCGAGCTCAGCTGATGGGCCCCGGTTCTCTCCCCCCCCCCCATACCTCCCGCCCCTGATCGTCCTGTCACCCGCCAGGCAGTTTGTCTTCGCTGTTTGGAGAGGGGAGCGGGAGAGGGGCGACGCTGGGGCGTGGCAACCCTTTCCTCCTGGTCTCCTCAGGCCCAGGCTGCTCGCAGGCCAGAGGAGAGGCGGGGCGTCTCCCCTCACAGCCCCCGCACACACCGGGCGTCGGGGGTGGCACCCCAGAAAGGACACAGCACGCAGAGCCTGCCAGGAGTCGAGAATTGGTTCTGACACCAACTTGCCGTGGGACCTCAAGGTCCCCCAGGATCCAGCTGTGGTTCCACCACAGAAACCCAGGGCTTGGAGGTGCAGCAGGTCTAAAACTTGTACTCAGATGCAGAGGAAATGTTCAGGATGGATGGATGGGTGGTGGGTGGATGTGTAGGTGGATAAATGGATTGTATGTGGAGGGGTAGATGGTGGAGGGATGGATGGATGGATGGATAGACAGGTAGATGGAAGATGGATAGGTAAAGGTGGGTGGATGGTGCATGGATTGGTGAGTGGTGGATGGATGGTGGGTGCGTGGATGCGTGGATGGATAAATGGATGGTGGATGGATGGTGGGTGCGTGGATGCGTGGATGGATGGATAAATGGATGGTGGATGGATGGTGGGTGCGTGGATGCGTGGATGGATAAATGGAGGTGAATGGATGAGTGGTGGTGGATGGATAGGTTGGTTAGTGGATGTGTGGATGGTTAAATGGATGGTGGATGGATGGGTGGGTGAGTGGAGGTGTGGATGGATAAATGGATGGCAGATAGACAGGGAGAAGGTAGATGGACGGTGGATGGACTGGGAGA